AAAACATTGTTATCAAGCAATTTAATGAATACTTTAGAAAAATAAATAAGTAGATATTAGTAATACTTTTTACTATGAAAATATTAGTACATTATGTAGGATAGAAAATTGATAATTAGTTAGTAGAAATAATAAGGTAGTGTGAGCATTGATGATTAATAGAAACTTATGTTACTAAGAAAATGTAATCAGGAGTCTGATAACTAGAAATGATTTGTGTAAGGTTTGACTTAATCTTTTAGTGGAAATGAGAGGAAACAATTTATCACCTACTGAGAAAGGAGATGAAAGTCAGTTTGAACATCACAGAAATATTTTTGTCAAAGTTGTCTAATGACCAGGTGCAAGAATGTTGTGGTAGACTTTGTAATAATTCAAGAAAAGATCAAAGTGTCAATTCATTATGTACTGTGTAGTTTTAAGTATAAAAATAAAGACTTGCTGAGCCAGGCCAGAAGAAGAACAAGCAGACAGAGAAAGAGAGCCTGCTTCAGCCAACTAAGCAAAGGCTCTCAATTACTTCCATTTTCGCCAACTCCACGTCTCCTTTCATGTCCCACAACCCTGAGTGAGCTGGACTCCCGCAGACCAGTCCCTGGAGAAGAATATCATGTTTGATAAAGTGGAGGGTTGGAGTAAAAGAAGAAGAGCCCCAACAAGATGGATTGGCACAATGGGAGCAGCAATGGACGTTGGTGTAGCAATGATTGTAAGATTGGCCCAGGACCAGGCAGTGTTTTCTACTGTTGTATATAGGGTCGCTATTAGTCAGTACCATATAGATATTTAGTTGTTTGTGTTTTTTGTTGTTGTTGTTTTGTGTGTTTTTTTTAAGAAAAACTCATTATGTAAGGAAAAACTTTTCTCTTATTCTTTGTCTTCTAGTCATCCTCTTTTCTGTTTGGGATGTGCTGTGGTTCTGCCACCCAAAGGGGTTTAGATTTGCAGGCCCTCTTGACTGCAGCGTCCCTGCCTCCTCAAAGTCTAGTTAGTGATGACAGTATTCATCTTCCTTATTGTGACTCAAATGTCATTTTCCTACCTTCACCTGCTCGTCTCCAAGCCCACAGCCAGATCCCACATTATAAGCTCTTACTTCACTGAGTCCCTTTCTTTCATAACATGTAGTTTACAGTTGGAGTCCTGGTGTGGCTCTGTGGCATAAAGCACTGGACCGCAAGGTCAGTTTAAACCAAAAGGTTGGTGTTTCAAACTCACCAGCTGCCCCTTAGAAACCATATACAGGGTCACTATGGGTCCGAACTGATTCGACACCACTTAACAACAACAATTTACAATTCATGGTTATTTATTGTGATAAGCTGATTAATGATTACCTCTCTCTCTAGACTATACACTCAAGTTGTTTCTATTATTCTTGTCATTATAAGTAGTAACAGGTATAGAATCAGTATTCAATGAATAGCCCTCAAATGTAGGAATGAAATGAACGAATCAGTAAGTGAAAAGAAAGGAGAAGCTATTTTGGAGAGATAAAAGAAGATAAACTCTGTCTACACTATTTTCAATCCAATCACACACAATTCTGCAATTCCATTTTTCACTTTCTAGATGGCAAGGAGAAACTTTTAAAACTGTTTTCCCAGGGCTTAGCAACAGGCTAGTCTTACATATAAGCATTTTTTATGTGCTTGTTGAACAAGTGAATGAATGACAAATAAAACTAAAAATGAAAAAAATAGGTCTTAAATCTTGTTAATAGTATTAATTATGTTATTGTTGTTAAGTGCCATTGAATCAGTTCTGACTCATAGGAATCCTGTATAGGGTTTCTAAGGAGCAGCTAGTGGGTTTGAACCATTGATCTTGTGGTTAGCAGTCCAGTGCTTATTTTAAAGCGCCACATAATTATACCTATTGTTAATATTATTGAATATTATGTATTATTATAATGACAATGATGTTGCTATTTAAATGCATAATGGAATAAAGGTGAGTACCAAATGCTTTATTAATAGAAAATATTCAGTAATTCTCTTTTACTGAAATGAAACTCCGGGTTTACAGTGAGCACCGGCATAGCTGAAGAGTATTATATATGGCCCTGGGACTTGTTAGAGTCAGGCAAAGGGAAATTTGTATAAAATGAATGAGGATATGTAAAACTCCATTGCTGACTGCTCCAAAGGCAAGGCAGTGTCTCTTCAGTTGAAATATAACAGGTTAAACTTTTGTGATGCTGGTTGTCTACAATATTACTGACTGGTTCATTCATTCATTAATAAGCTATAGAACAGTGTGCTTCTAAGTGCAAATAGGTTGTTAAATCAATTTAAGGTGATGCTCTGGTAGCATAGTGGCTATGAATCGGGCTGCAGACCGCAAGGTCGGGAGTTCGAAACTACCAGGGGTTCCGAGGGAGAAAGATGAGGCGATCTGCTCCAGTAAAGATTTACAGCTTCGGAAACCCTGTACGGGGTCGCTATGGGTCGGAATCGACTCAACAGCACTTAACAACAACAACAACAATTCTTGAAAATATGGAATAGATTACACAGACTAATTTAAATGGATTTAATAAAATAGGAACTTTTAAACTTCAAAATGTTTAAGACTTTAGAAGTCCTATGCCATCTAAAATGTAATCTTAATTAAACCTTCTAGATTTAAAAAATAATAATCTGAAAAAAAGGACCTTCTGAAAATTAAGTCCTTGCGCCCAGGAACAATTCTTGGGGTTTGGAACATCTTCCCAAAACAGCTTCTTCATTCTACAAAGGATAAACAAGGTATTAGAGAAAAGCACCAATATTAAAAATGCTAAGAGCTAATAGATATACACACTGGAAATCAATCCACCTCAGTAGGGTCAGATTTATTTGCACATGCCCTAACATGGGGATTTCCACCAAAGTTCTATATATTGTCATTATGTGCCATTGAGTTGATTTCTACTCAGAGTAGAACTGAAAACCCCATAGGCTTTCTTAGGCTGTAATCTTTATGGGAACACATTACCAGGACTTTTTTCCCTATAAAGTGGCTGGTAGGCTCAAACCACCAACCTTTCTGTTAATAGCTAAACACGAAACCATTGCACCACTTGTTGTTGTTGTTGTTAAGTGCCGTGGAGTCAGTTCTGTCTCATAGTGACCCGGGCTGTAAATCTTTCTCCTAATTGCCCTACTAGAGCTCCTTAATTTAGAAAAACAAAAGCTAATTGTAATAACAAAAATGGGGTCCTGAAAAAAAAAAAAGAGTCCTGGTGTGGCACTGTAGGATAAGCACTCAACCACAAGATCAGTTTGAATTGCAAGGTTAGTGGTTCAAACACCAGCTGCTCCTCAGAAATCCTTTATAGGGCTGCTATGGGCTAGAACCGACTCGACGGCACTTAACAACAATAACAAAAATAGCCAACACTTATTGAAAGCTATAATCCAGGTATTGGGCTAAACACTTAACCCAGGGAGAAAAAAAAAAACATTTTGTTTTTTTAAATGGCCTTACAAGTGAATTTTGGTAACAATTCTGCTTGACATAACCTCATCAGCTCACTTGACTTAGTGCTAAGTATAAATTCTCAAATCACCTCCTCCTCTTTTTTGGTAAAGGACAAAAGTTTTATAGAGAGATGGATCTCTTTGTTTCCAACTGCTGAGTAAGGAGTGATGTCACAGAACCTTCCAGGAAATTCAAGACGATATGCCTGACAAAGCACAGACAGGAGCCACCCAGTGTTGATCCACCAAAAGCAGTGTGTCTACTAATCATAAGAGTTCTGTGGCACTGTAGGATAATGCACTCAACTGAAATATCGGTTTGAGTCTCAAGGTTGGCAGTTCAATCCCATTAGCTGCTCCTTGGAAACCCTATACAGGGTCGTTATGCTTCAGAACCAACGAACGGCACTAACACCAACAACAATTAATCCTAAACACATTCACTACTCCAGAACTCGAGGTCAGTCTTCACCATTAAGAGTCGTCAACCCAAATAGCAGACTTGAAAGCCATTTTTACTTCCAAGAACATACTGGAGTACTGGTGTGACAGTGGAAGATAATCACTTGATAACAAGGTTGGTTTGAATGACAAGATTAATGGTTCAAACTCACCAGCCCCTCCTTGGAAACCCTACACAAGATTGCTATGAGTTGGAACTGACTTGACAGCACTTAAGAACAGCTAAAAATATATTGTCTATTATAAGACTGTTATTTCTGGAAAGTATATATATAGAGATATATATGTGTGTATGTATACAAAAAAAAAACAAAAACAAGAAAAAGGTTTTTTTTTTTCATGAGCTTAAGCTGTCCTAGGAAAATGAAATGTGGTTTCTAAAAAACAGACCTTTCCTTTTTACACCACCTTAATTGTACTCCTAGTGAGGCGCTGTTGGTTAATGCGATGGACTGCAAAGTCTGCTTGAACCAGGAGGCCTGCAGTTCAAGCTCACCAGCGACTCCTTGGAAACCCTATACAGGGTTGCTATGGGTTGGAACCCAACTCGATGGCACTTAACAACAACAACAACAATTGTACATTGGAGACATACTGAAACACTTAGAATACTTTAATGTTTCTGATTCAGGTTTTTAAAACAAATTAAATATACTCAAGGGATTTTTGCCATAAAGATTCTTAATACCAAGTAAAATACCTTTGGTGTGATATTAACAATGTTCCAAGCAGTAAGATTGAAGAGGAAATAATTATTGGCACAATTATATATAGACCTGCATCATTCTGGTGTTTTTCAATATCATCTGAAAAAGAAATACAATTCACACAACTCATAAGCTTGATAAAATGTTAATAACTTATTGTATAAAAATGTAAATATAAAAATTGCATGGTGTGCAAATAATCTTAGAAGTTGGACTCATGAAGCAGCAACAGAATTGGAGGAAGACTCATTAACAACCTGTGGCATGCAGATGACATAACCTTGCTTGCTCAAACTGAAGAAGACTTGAAACATTTACTGATGGAGATAAAAATGACAACTACAACAACAAATCCTATATCCTTCAGTCTGGATTATTCATCAACATAAAGAAAACAAAAATCATCACAACTAGACCAATTATGGACATCAGGATAAACAGAAAAGATTGACGTTTTCAAGAATTTCATTTTACTTGGATTCACGATCAATGCTCAGGGAAGCAGTAGTCAAGAAATCAAATGTTTTATTTATTGCATCGGAAAATTTTGCGGCAAAGGACATCGTTAAAATGTAAGAAGAGACATTACTTTGAGGGCTGACTCAAAGTGTGGCTGACTCAAGGAATGCTCATTTCAACTGCCTCACATGTATGTAAAACCTGGACAATGAATAAGAAAGAATAAAGAACTGATGCCTTCTAATTACAATGTTGGCAAAGAATTTTGACTATATCTTGCTTATAGCTGTTTCTGTATTACCTTTAGTAAAGCTTTACTCGCATGGGATATCAAAGAGACTGTCCAATGATTTCCGCATTCCGTTGGGTCACCTCTCTTTGGAATGGGCACAAATACGGATCTCTTCCAATCAGTTGGCCAGATAATTGTCTTCCAAATTTCTTGGCAGAGATGAGTGAGTGCCTCCAGCGCTGCTTCACTTTCTTGAAAGATTTCAATTTGTATTCCATTAATTCCTGGTGCCTTGTTCTTTATCAATTCCTTCAGTGCACCTTGGATTTCTTCCTTCAGTATCATTGGCTCTTAACCATATGCTACCTCTTGAAATGGATTTCTTTAGCGTAGTGGTTACGAATCGGGCTGCGAACCTTAAGGTCAGCGGTTCGAAACTACCAGTCACTCCGCGGGAGAAAGATGAGGCTTTCTACTCCCGTAAAGATTTACACCCTTGGAAACCCTGTACAGGGTCGCTACGGGTCGGACCCGACTCGATGGCACTTAACAACAACAACAACAATTGTACTTATGCTTTCTGTATCATTCAATAATTTGCCCAGAGAATCCGTCAGTACCAAAAGCTGAGGCTTGAGTATTTTTTTCATTTTTCCCAGCTTGAGACATCCTGGGCGTGTTCTTCCCCTTTTTTCTTACTCTAAATCTTTGCATATTTTGTAATGTTTGACTTTGTCTTCTCAAGCTGACCTTGGAAATTTTCTGTTCAGCTCTTATACCTCCTCATTTCTTCCATTTATTTTAATATCTCTTTGCTAGAGAGCGTGTTTCATTCAATATCTCTTCTAATATCCATTTTGGTCTTTTCCTTCTTTCTTGTCTTCTTAATGACCTTTTGTTTTTTTTCCTGTATGATGTTCACGATGTCATCCCACAACTCTTCTGCTTTTCCGTCTATAGAGGGTTTAATGTATCAAATCTGTTCTTCAGATGATCTCTAAATTCAGGTAGGATATATTCAAGGTCATATTTTGGCTGTCATGGATTTGTTTTCATTTTTTTCAGCTTCAGTCTGATTTTGCATACGAGCAATTGACGATCTGTTTCACAATCTGCCCCTGACCTTGTTTTGGCTGATGAGATGCAGTTTTTCCACCGTCTCTTTCCACAGATGTAGTCAATTTAATTTCTGTGTATTCCACTTGGTGAGGTCCATGTGTGTAATCATCTCTTATGCTGTTTAAAGAAGGTATTTGCAATGAATAAATCTTTGGTTTTACAGAATTCTATCATGTGATCTCCAGCATTATTTATATCACCAAGGCCATATTTTCCATATACTGATCCTTCTTGTTTGTCTCCAACCTTTGGCGCATGGATATTATCCTATCACAGACAGCATTGTACCTCATGACAGAGCTTGATATGTTCTTTTTGATGATAATGCAACACCATTCCTCTTCAATTTGTCATTCCTGGCATAGTAAACCATGTTGTGGTCAGATTCGAAATGCTCAATACCAGTCCATTTCAGCTCACTAATGCCTAAGATATCCATATTTATGAGTTTCATTTCATTTTTGACAATTTCCAATTTTTATAGATTCATATTTCATACATTCCATGTTCTGATTATTAATGGATGTTTACAGCTGTTTTTCTTCATTTTAAGTTGTGCCCCATCAGCAAATGAAGTTCCCAAGGACTTTACTTCCATGGGCTTTACTCCATTTGCGTCATCCTAGTCAACTCTTACTTTGAGGAGGCAGCTTTTCCCACTTGCATTTTGAGCGCCTTCAAACCTGAGGGGCTCATTTTCTGGCACTATATCTGACAGTGTTTCTCTGCTATTCATGAGGTTTTCAGTGACTAAATATTTGGAAGTAGTTCATCACTCCTTTTTCCTAGTCTGTCTTTGTCTAGAAGCTCATCTGAAACCTGTCCACCATGGGGACCCTGCTGGTATTTAAAAACCCATGGCATAGCTTCCAGAATCACGGCAACTCACAAGCCACCACAGAATGACAAACTGACAGATGAATGGTGGCTCCAGTGCTTTGAAAGTGTTTATTAAGTATTTGTTAACAATACACAAATACAATTTTCTAATTATGTGTATTCTAAAACCAGGTAAAACTTTTCTATCTTGAAGCATCATTATTATTTTTGTTAATTGATGTTGGGGTGGTTCCAATTCATAGTGACCCTGTATAGGGTTTCCAAGGAGCAGCTCGTGGATTTGAAACATGACCTTGTGGTTACCAGGCCAGTGCTTGTCCTACAGGGCCACACCAGGGTTCATTTGTACTAGGTTACTAGAATTTCAAGACAATTTAAAAAGTACTATCAATATCTAAATGTTGGTTAAGAAAACTTACCTTACTCTAAGTATGGTAATATGAATAAAAATAAAAGATAAAAATATCCAACCAACTTATTTTTCCCAAAACTATCTCTCCAGTTTAACTTTTTAGTGGGAAAAATATTGTCTCTGAAAAACCGATATAACTTTTTAAAAAACTTAATATATGTTTCATGGGACTGAATGAGGGGGATTCAAGAAGTTCATGGACAAATGGAATGAAAATATAATATAATTTTTTCACAAGTTTTCTGAAGACCCTTCATGTCACTCTTGGTTAAAGTATTTATGTGAATTATAAAATATTAATATTTTTCCAATTAATCCTTGTGATACTGTATTATATTATACAACTTTATGTTTCCCTTGAAGTCTTGGTACAGTGCTATAGAATAAGCACTGGACTGCTAACCACACGATTAGCAGTTCAAACCCAACAGCCACTCGTTGGAAACCCTACATTGCATCGTTATGAGTTGAAATTGACTCATTGGCACTTAGCAACAATAAAAATATTCTCCTTACTTTTAGTTCCATAAACTTTTTACTCAATTTAAGTCTTTACTTACCAATATAAGAATTCAATACATGAGTTGAAATTGACTCATTGGCACTTAACAACAATAAAAATATTCTCCTTACTTTTAGTTCCATAAACTTTTTACTCAATTTAAGTCTTTACTTACCAATATAAGAATTCAATACCATGATAACTGATCGTTTTTCTTACTACCATCATGGAACCCTGTACTACCTCACAACACGGCTGTATAAGACTCTGATCAGTTACATGATTGTTCAATCAGCCAAAAAAGGAATAATCAGATGGCAACATTACCATCAACAAATTATAAAACCACACAACTATCTTAAAAAAATATATAAAAGTAGAAATTTTACCTTGGGTGAAACTATTAATTATCTTCGGTTTTCCCACTCCTTCCATAAATACTGGGTAAAGACTGAACTGATACTTCTCAATGGGGATGAAATGATCTGAGAATAAAAACATGTTGGAGGCTCATTTGCACTGAATTAAAATTAAGCAGTGGAATGCATATATAGAAAAAATTTAAGTGAATCTTCTATGTCTCCAGACATATTAATTACTTGTTATTTATAGATAAACATGATAAGAGAGGGCTCCAAATTCACCTGGTAATAACAAAAAATAATTTTCACAATTAATTAATTTTAAAAAATCATATCTAGATATAGAAGACATCAACTTTTCAAATCCATGTTCTAGTGAAAGACAACTTGTTCAAGTTCAGTACATATGAGTTGTTTCTTTTCCTTATTTGTCTATCTGGATTAATATATCCTACTTTTCTAAGATGGCAGATCGGGTAGACATGCAGTGAGGAGTTCCATCACCACCAACACAGAATAACAGACCAAGCAGGCTCAGGGAACAGTGCTAGAACTCTGAACCACATATAAAAGAATATTTAGAAGATTAGAAGGTTTACTGCTAGGGGAATTTGTAGCAGAATCAAGAAATCCATTGCTTTCTAATTCAAGACGCTAAGCTACTCCCGGAGCTTGGAAGAAACCAAGTAGTGGAAGGATCAGAACAGCCATGAACGCCTGACAGAACCATGGAGATACAGGTATGGACATTCTTTTTTTAGTATCTGTTCATTGGTCTCTTGCTGTCTACGCACCTCCATTTTGGTGACTAGAGGGGATGCCTGAATGAATAGACATCCCATCCCCACCCCTGAAGGGTTCACTATGCATGCGCACAGATCTCCTCGAAATTTAAAGTGACAGTTTCCACTTAAAACCAGATGGCCACCACTCGTCTGTCAGTTTGTTATACTGTGGTAGCTTGTGAGTTGTTGTGATTCTGAAAGATATGCCACCGGTATTTTAAATACCAGTAGGGTCACTCATGGTGGACACATTTCAGATGAGTTTCAAGACAAAGACAGACTAGGAAAGGAGTGATGAACCACTTCTGAATATTTAGTCACTGAAAACCTTATGAATAGCAGAGAAACACTGTCAGATATAGTGCCGGAAAATGAGCCCCTCAAATTGGAAGGCACTCAACATGCTTCTGGGGAAGAGCTGTCTCCTCAAAGTAGAGTTGACTGTGATGATGAGAATGGAGTTAAGCTTGTGGAAGAAAATCCCATGGGACATTGATTTGCTGATGGCGCACACTCAGAATGAGGAGAAACAGATGTAAACATCCATTGAAAATCAGAACATGGAATGTAAGAAATATGAATCTGGGAAAATTGGAAGTTTTCAAAAATGAAATGGAATGCATAAACATTAATATCTTAGGCATTAGTGAGCTGAAATGGACTGGTATTGGCCATTTAAATCTGACAACCACATGGTTTACTATACCAGGAATGACAAATTGAAGAGGTATGGTGTTGCATTCATTGTCAAAAAAATATATATATATCCAGATCAGTCATTAGGTACAATGCTGTCTGTGATAGGATAATATCCATGCACCTACAGGGAAGACCAGTTAATACCACTATTATTAAAATTTACGCACCAACCACTAAAGTCAGTGAGGATGAAATAGAAGAATTTTCCCAGCTTCTTCAATCTGAAATCGATCAAACATGAATCAAGATATATTGATCATTACTGATGATTGGAATGCAAAGGTTGGGAGCAAAGAAGAAGGATCAGTAGTTGGAAAATATGGCCTTGGTGTTAGAAATGATGCTGGAGAATGCATGATAAAATTCTACAAGACCAATGATTTGTTCATTTCATATACATTATCTTTAAATAGCATAAGAGCATAATACACATGGACCTTGCCAGATGGAACACATAGAAATCAAATTGCCTACATCTGTGGAAAGAGACGATGGAAAAGCTCCATCTCATTAGTGAAAACAAGGCCAGGGGCAGACTGTGGAACAGACCATCAATTAGTCATATGCAAATTCAAACTAAATCTGAAGAAAATTAAAACAAGTCCACGAGAGCCAAAAGATGACCTGGAATATATCCCACCTGAATTCAGAGATCATCTGAAGAACAGATTTGATACATTTAAACACTAAAGACCGAAGATCACAAGAGTTGTGGGATGACATCAAGAACATCATACATAAAGAAAGCAAAAAGTCATTAAGAAGACAAGAAAGAAGGAAAAGATCAAAATGGATGTCAGAAGAAACACTGAAACTTGCTCTCCAGTGTTGAGACACTATAGCAAATGGAAGAAATGAGGAGTTACAAAAGCTGAACATAAAATTTCAAAGATCAGCTTGAAAAGATAAAGACAAATATTACAAGAAAATGTGCAAAGATCTGGAATCAGAAAACCAAAAAGGAAGAACATGCTCAGCATTTCTCAAGCTGGGGGAACTGAAGAAAAAATCCAAGTCTCGACTTTCGTTATTGAATGATGCAGAAAGCATCCAGAGAAGATGGAAGGAATACACAGAGCCACTGTGCCAAAAGGAAATGGTTAATGTTCAACCATTTCAAGAGGTAGCATATGATCAAGAGCCAATTATACTGAAGGAGGAAGTCCAAGGTGCATTGAAGGAATTGGCATATAACAAGACCTTTTTAAAGTGTTGAAGAGCAAAGATGTCAGCTTGAGGACTAAGGTGTGCCTGACCCAAGCCATGGTATTTTCAATAACCTCATATGCATGTGAAAGCTGTACAGTGAATAAGGAAGACCATAGAAGAATTGATGTTTTTGAGTTATGGTGTTAGAGGAGAATATTGAAGGTGCCAAGAGCTGCCAAAAGAACCAATAATCTGTTTTGGAAGAAGTGCAGCCAGAATGCTGCTTAGAGGCCAAGATGGCCAAACTTCGTCTCTCATACTTTGGACGTATTGTCAGGAGGGACCAGTCGCTGGAGAAGGATATCATGTTTGGTAAGGTGGAGGGTCAGAGAAGAAGAGGAAGACCCCCAATGTGATAGATTGGCCAAGTGGCAACATCAATGGACTCAAGCGTGGCAACAGTAGTAAGGTTGGCTCAGAATCAGGCAATGTTTCATTCTGCTTTGCATAAGGTCACTATGGGTTGGTACCAACTCGATGGCACCTAACAACAACAACTTTCTTTCCCATATCTCCAAAGCTAACTACCTCACAATATTTCCTTTTCCTTTTCATGGGAATTTAGATGACCTAATTTCCCTGTTCAAGGAAGCTGGGAGACTGAAATCTTGTACAAGGGTGAGTCAAAAATTATCTGCACTCTGACTGTAGAATTTATTTTAATTAAATTTTAGAAAAGACAAATTCATCATTTTCAACATAATATCCTTGTTTTTCAATACACTTTGTCCATCTGTAAATAAGCTTTCCAAAACTACCAGCCGCTCCGCTGGAGAAAGATGAGGCGTTCTGTTCCCATAAAGATTTACAGCCTCGGAAACCCTGTACAGGGTCGCTATGGGTCAGAACCGACTCAACGGCACTTAACAACAACAACAAATCCCTTATTTAAAAATGTTTCAGACTGAACTGTGGTCCACAAATGCACTGCTGTCTTCACTTCTTCATCAGAGGTGAAACTTTGACCTCAAAGGGCTACTTCCAGGAAACCAAACAGGTGAAAGTTCAGTGGAGCAAGTTCAGACTATTCAGAGGATGCTTTTGCACCTTAAAATGAAGTTTTGCAGAGTGTCAACAGTGTGCACAGAGGTGTGACGATGTGAATCATCATGCAAGATCTCAATGCCCTTAGAGAGCAGTCCTCTGCATTTAATTCGAAGTTGAGACTTCAGCTCTTCAGTGAGCATCTCACTATAATGAACACTGTTGATTGCTGAACGTTTTTCCTAATAGTTGTTCAATACTGACCCTTAAGAAACCCAGAAAACTAAAGGCATCAATCTTCCAGCTGATGGTTGACATTTGAACTTTTTCTTGGTCGGTGATTATGCCATTTATTCTCAGACTCATAGTGATGAATTCATGTCTCATCACCAGGAAGATTTTTTTTAAGGAAATGTTTACCTTCTTTGGAGTATTGGTCCAAGTTTTGTTTGCAGATGTCCAAATGCTTCCATTTATGCTTTTCCATGAGCTGTTTTGGTTCCCATCTCACACAAGCTTTTCAAAACCTAAATCTGTTGTAAGCTATTTCATAGGCAGAGCCATGGCTGATTTGCAAATGATTTGCCATATAATCCACTCATCTATTCAACAGAATCATTTCACAGGCATGTTCAATGTTGTCATCAGCCATGGATGTGGACAGACATTTTAATATAACTGGATGTGGATAATTTTGATTCTCTTGAACAAACCTGGGGAAAGAAGGTGTGTGTGTGGAATGGGGAGGGGGAAACACCAAGTCTTCTTGCAATATATAGGACCCTAGAATCCAAGGAGGACAGTGAGCTCTATACCAATATACATAATGGATCTAATAGGCTTTTTACTATTACTAATAATATAAATGGTTATGAGTTGGGCTACTAACTGCAAGGTCAGCAGTTCGAAACTACCAGCTGCTCCATGGGAGAAAGATGAGGCTTTCTGCTCCCGTAAATATTTACAGCTTCGGAAGCCCTATACAGGGTCACTATGAGTCAGAACTGACTCCACGGCACATAACCACCACCACCAGTAATATAAGGTGGCTTCAAAAAGTTAATGAAAAAATTCCATAATCTTTAAATTCCATTTTTCAAAGAACTTTTCTGAAGTTCCTCTGTGAATATTTTAGGGACACAATTCAATTCATAACAACTATCATCTGATATAGGATTCCTGATGTGGTATTGTAGGATAAACACTTAGACAGTTAACAGCAGGTTTGGCAGTTCAAACCCATCAGCCACTCCCTGAAAAGGGTCTCTATGAGTCAGAACCAACTTGACAGCACTTAACAATAGCAACATCATCTGATATATATGTTTATAATTCAATAATGTTACATTAAGGATACCTGGTAGTGTGGTGGGCTCTGAGTTAGGCAGCTAACTGTAAGGTTAGCAGTTTGAATCCACTAGTGGCTCTGAGGAAGAAAGACGAGAT